AGTTGAGTTGTGTTTTTTTTTTTTTCCAAGCAGGCTTCATGTCCAGCATGGGGCCCAACACGGGGCTTGAAGTCATGACCGTGAGACAAGACCTGAATCTGGATTAAGAGTCAGATGCTTAACTGACTGAGACACCCAGGAGCCTCTGCAGTTGAGCGTTTTTAAAATATATTTATTGAGGCACCTGGGTGGTTCAGTCAGTGGGCAACTGACTCTTGACTTCGGCTCGGGTCACAATCTTGCAGTTCATGGGATTGAGTCCCAAGTTGGACACTGCACTGACAGGGCAGAGCCTGCTTGGGATTCTCCCTCCCTCCCTCTCTCTTCTCTCTCCCCTCCTCCCCGTCTCTCTGCCCCTTTCCTGCTCTTTCTCAAAATAAATAAACAAACTTAAAAAATATATATTTACTGGCCATTAATGTTTTTCTGGGTCATGAGTATATGGTTCTGGCTCATTTTTCTACTAGGTTGCTGAGCTGTCTGCACTGGGGCCCAACACTGGGCTTGATCCCACAACCATGAGATCATGACCTGAGCCAAAGTTGGACGCTTAACCGAATGTTAATTTTTTGAGGAATCACCATATTGCTTTTCATAGCAGCTGTACCATTTTATATCCTTAACAGTAGTGCACAAAGACTCCCATTTCTCCACATTCTCACCAACACTTGTTATTTTCTGGTTTTTCTTTTTCTTTTTTTTAAATAGCTATCCTCATGGGTAGGGTGATATAGCTCATTGTGGTTTTGATTTGGACCAATTTACATTCCTACCAGTAGTGTACAAGAATCTCCTTTTCTCCACATCCTTGCCAAACTTATTATTTATCTTATTATTAGCAATTCTCACTGGTATGAGGTGATACCTCATTGTGGTTTTTGATTTGCATTTCCTTGATTATTAGTGATGTTGAGCATCTTTACTTATGTCTGTTGGCCATCTATAAGTCTTCTTTGGAAAACAGTTTATTATTCAGGTCCTCTGCTCATTTCTTAGTTGTGTTTTTTTCACCTGGGCTGTTGAGTTTACCCTTTATTGGATATATCAAATATTGCAAAAATCTTCTCCTACTCAGTAGGTTGCCTTCACATTTCCTTCACTGTGCAAAAGCTTTTTAGTTTAATGTCCCCAATTACTTATCTTTGCTTTTGTTTCTCCTGCCTGGGAAAACACATCCAGAAAAATACTGCTAAGGCCAAGAGTTTATGGCCTAAGTTTTCTTTTAGGAGTTTTATCATTTTAGGTATTTAATCTTTGAGTTTACTTCTGTGTATGGTGTAAGAAAGTGGTCCAATTTAATTCTTTTACATGTAGCTGTCCATTTTTCCCAACACCATTTATTGAAGAGACTTTCTTGTCCCCATTGTATATTCTTGCCTCCTTTGTAGGTTAAGTGACCATTAAATGGTAGCCTTATTTCTGGACTCTCTATTCTGTTCCGTTGATCTATATGTCTATTTATGTGCCAGTATAATACTGTTTTAATCACTACAGATTTGTAGTGTATCTTGAAAGCTGGGATTGTAATACCTCCAGCTTTGTTCTTCTTTCTCAACACTGCTTTGGCAATTCAGGGTCTTTTGCAGTTCTATATAAATTTTATGATGATTTTATTCTAGTGCTATGAAAAATGATTTTAGTATTTTATTTGTCTGTTTATTTACTTATTTATTTATTGCTTTTGGTATTTTAATTGAGTTTGAATCTGTAGATTGTTTTGGGTAGTATGATCATTTTAATAATATTAATTTTTCTAATCCATGAACATGGGATATCGTTCCATTTCTTTTTTTTTTTTTTTTTTTAATGTTTTACTTATTCCTGAGAGAAAGACAGCCTGAGCAGGGGAGGGTCAGAGAGAGAGGGAGAATCTGAAGCAGACTCCAGGCTCTGAGCTGTCAGCACAGAGCCCGATGCAGGGCTTGAACCCCTGAACTGTGAGATCATGACGTGAGCCAAAGTCAGATGCTTAACCAACTGAGCCACCCATGTACCCCTCCATTTCTTTTTTTCTTCTTCAATTTCTTTCATCAATGTTTTACAGTTTTCAGAGTACAGGTGTTCACCTCCTTGGTTAAATGTATTCCTAGGTATTTTATTATTTTTGATTCAATTGTAAATGGAACTGTTTCCTCATATTCTCTTTCTGACTGTTATTAGTATATAGAAATTCAACAGATTTCTGTATATTGATTTTGTATCCTGCAACTTTACAATTCACTGATCATTTATTTTTATTGTATATTTGTTCTCTATTTTCTTATCTATAATTGTCCTTCCATTACTTCTTCTGTGTTTATTCTGCTTTCACTTCTTAAATTAGATACTATTGTTGAAATAAGGACAAGAGATCTAAATTTTAAAATTAGGACAGGTATTGGGGTGCATGGGTGGCTCAGTCAGTTAGGCATCTGACTATGACTTGTCATGATCTATAGTTTGTGAGTTCGAGCCCTGCATCTGGCTCTCTGCTGACAGCTCAGAGCCTGGAGCCTGCTTTAGATTCTGTGTCTCCCATTCTCTCTGCCCCTCCCCCACTTGCACTGTTTTACACTCTCACAAAAATAAACATTAAAAAAGAAAAAGTTGGACAGGTGTTTACTAATAGCCTGTACTCAGGAGAAGAACGTATGATTTACAAGTAGATAGCTTTACTCCTTTGGCTCCTAGCACCTAAAAGTTACATGAAGTCTTTAGGTACCTGTTTATGTGATTAATATAGGCAGAAATCGCCCCATAAAACAAGTCAGCCCTCAAAGTCCTACTCAGAAAATCTTTCTCTGTAGTAAAAAGTCTACAGCTTGTGGCTAGGGGTTCCTTGTGATATAGTGGGGAGTTCTAGAAAAAGCTATCTTATGACATAGAGGAGATGTGGGTACTTCTGGCAGGTCAAGGGTAAGTGTGGTCTTCATCTATGCATGGCTCATTAGACCAAAAAAAAAGAAAAAAAAGGGTCAAGATTCAGCCTTTAAAGTTTTGAACTTTTTTTTTTTTAATGTTTTATTTTTTTCTGAGAGAGAGGCAGCATGAACGGGGGAGAATCCAAAGCAGGCTCCAGGCTCTGAGCTGCCTGTCACCACAGAGCCCAATGTGGGGCTCAAACCCACGAACCGTGAGATCATGACCTGAGCCGAAGTTGCACGCTTCACGGACTGAGCCACCCAGGCGCCCCAGCCTTTAAAGTTTTGATATGTAGTATTTTCCCATTATTTAAACCCCTAGTTATTTCTAATGTTTATTATAATTTTTTGATTTGTAAATTGTTTAGAAGTTTGTTTTCTGATTCCCTGTAGGTTTACTCTCCCTTGATTAGTCTCAAAGTTACACTTTCTATTTGTTTTGTAGTTTTCTTAGCTATTAAAGTCTAAAGCTAAACATTTTTAAGAGAAACGCTTTTCAAATAGAATCGTAGTATACCATTGCCAATTTACTGTGCAGTTTTTATTATTTTAATTCTATTATTTTTAGTACTATACATTAGACATCCTTGTTTTTGTTTTACACAGTCAGTATACCTACAGATTTACTAAGATCCTAGCTTAATCCATTCTATTTCTCAGATTTTCCATCTGGGACCACTTCCTTTTCTTATCTGAGTATATCCTTTAGAATTTTCTTCAGAGCAGTTTGGTTGGTAATAAAATTCCTCGTATTGTGTTTTGCGTAAAAATGTCCTCAATTTATCCTCTTTAGTGATGTTTTTATTATATAAGAAAATTCCTTCATATGTTAAAGAAAAACTTTTACATTAATAAAATATTCTTTTCTGAGAGAACTGAAGATATAACTTCCTGTCTTTTGGCTCCTGTTGTTTCTGAAAAGTCAGCTTTCAGTCTAAATGCTATATATACATGTATACACACACACACACACACACACACACACACACATATATATGTTTTGTCTCTCTTTCTGGCTGCTTTTAGTATTTTATTTGTTTATAGTTCTTCAGTTTCACTATGACATACCTACTTAAAATTTTCATTTCTCTGCTTGGGATTTGCTGGGCTTTCTGGATCTTCAGTTCATTATCATTCAACAGTTCTGGAACTTTTTCTTCTCATCTACAGTATTTCCTTTTGGAACTCTATTGAGAGCACCTTAGATCATACCCCTAGTCTCATAATCTCATTTAACATTTTCCCTCCTGTCTCTTTGAGCCATATTATGGATTATTCAGCTCCATTTTCCAGTTCGCTATTGTTCTCTTCAACTGTCTCTAATCTGTTTAATGCACTGGGTTTTTAATTCTTATTTTTATATTTGTCATCTCCAGAAGTTCTCTTTCCTTAGTTTTAAAATCTATGCAATCAATTTACAGTCTCTGGTCCATGTTCCTATTTGCAACACTTTAAAATTTTTTTGAAATGTTATTCATTTGTATTTTTGACTGATAAATTCAAGAACGAAGTATTTATAGGTCCCACTCCACTGTCTGCTGCTTTTACTGGCTTTTAGTACAAATCGTTTCCTTGTGTTCTAAGTGAAAGCTGCCTTTCTCCTGAGAGGAATTTCTGTGTATTTCTGAGGGTCACCTAGAGCTGTTGAGGGTATTTACAGTGCCACTATGCTACAAAGGAAAACCTACTTTAATCTTTCTCTCTTTCCCCAATGTTTCTCAAAAGAAATAATTTCCCAACAGATAAAAATCACTGCTGGGAGCATTTGGTATTGCTCTTGCCAGGAGGATAACAAAATGGATTATTCCCACTTTGGAATTATGAGGGAAGAATGTGAGAAGCATATGCTGTCAAAATACCTTACAGATCAAATTCTTTATACCACTTGCATCTAGCTTCAACTTAAGGAGGGCTTTTATTTGGTTGTGAAAGTACTTCTAATAAGAAATGTTATCCCTTTCGCAGTTTGGTTCCTAATCCATCCATATCAGCTCTACTACAAATCATGAATGATGAAAAATGCATGATTATTACTTATTTTAGTCCCACCATGTAAAACCGGCTGGAGGTATAATCCTACAACCACAGCAATACACAAACCTGTGAGGGTCATCTGGATCACAGTTAGGAAGAAACTGAGTGATGGCTTCTGCCACTTCTTCATTTGATAAGACATCCCAGAGTCCATCGGTGGCCAAGATCAGCACATCATCTGCTCCATGCTCATATTTGGAGAGATCGTAGACTCTTACCTGAAAAGAATGGGGATATTCCTGCTTAAGAAGTTGGGAACACATTATTTCCAGTAACAAATTGGTTTTGGAATTCTTTCCTTTTTTCACCATGCCAAGGGGTTTTTAGGTATGCACTATGAAGTACTTGGTTGTGCCACCAGCTTTGTGGCCACAGGTAGCCTCCTTTGGAGACTTGCTGTATAGACAAGTGGGACTCAACAGGTAGGCTTAAGAGCTGACAAAGAAGAATTAATTGAAAATTAATGCCTGAGACATAGCTGGAATAATACTTACAATAGATACTGTGCAAGCCAGAAAAGCAGCCAGAGGCTTGCTTCCTTCCTTCCTTTGCACAATCCATTCTACAAATACTTAGTAAGGGCCTGCTCTGGGCCAGGTGCTCTATGTATAAAGATGAATAACAGGGGTGCCTGGGTGGCTCAGTTGGTTAAGCCTGTGACCTCAGGTCATGATCTCACTCACAGTTTGTGGGTTAGAGCCCCGCATCAGGTCTGTGCTGACAGCTCAGAAGCTGGAGCCTGCTTCAGGTTCTGTGTCTCCCTCTTTCTCTGCCCCTCCCCCTCTCATGCTGTCTCTGTCTCTCAAAAACAAATAAAATGTTTAAAAAAAGTTAAAAATAAAAAGATGAATAACAGGAAATAACAGATTTCCCTGCTTCTTAGCTCTGTTGGACAGACAAGGCCAGCCTTGGATCTTCAGTAGTTATTCTGTATTTGTCTAGGACTGAAGAGACACCTTATTAATGGGCTCACTTGAATCACCTTTTGGCTTACCTGTTTGAACCCCAAGGGGCAGGATTTCTCACCTGTCAGGATGGGGCTCAGAGGCTGTACTCAGGTTTAAGGGGCTTCAATCGAGCCTAAATTACAAAGGACACATGCTAAATCTGAATCTCCAATGTGGATCTTGGCAAACTTTAAGTCTTTCCTCATCTCTAGGACCTGGAATGACTTGGGATATTTCAAGATCCACCTAAAGTCTTTGTGAAGAACAGAATAACCTTGATGAAACTAGTAAGCATACAAATCCAGCAGAATTGGGGCTAGGCCACAACTCTTATTTTCACCCAACTCTGGCAGGAAAAGAGTCTGGGATTTCATTGCTATTCCCTTCTAACTGGGCAGAACCAGCCCATGTATACCACCTCCTGAGCTAAGGACACATGCAGGTCAATTTCATCAACCTTCCAGCTCCTTCAACCCCTCTCTTTTTTCCTATCTTCTAAAAGCAAGTCTGCATGAAAGCTTTAGGCCAGCGGAGGGACAGGGAGAGGAAGGAGCTTGGAGTTTAAGCAGCTGTGTCCCCCATCACACACAGTCACTGCTAGGTCATCTCAGATCTAGAGAGAATTCAATTCTAAGAGCCTACACACTGTTCAAATCCACATCTTTGAAAGCCAAGCCTCCTACTCTTAGAAAGGTTTGCCCAGGCCCGTGACTCCCTGACACAGGGCTGGGCCTGTAGACTAACAGCCTACACCCAGCAGCACAGAACAACAAAATAGCACACGCCTACCCACCAGGCCCTGGGAAAATGAGCTCAAATGAAAAGCAGCCTCCAGGTACCAGGCTGATGTGGCCTGCTAACTACATGGTAACAATCAGCTTAATGGCCCAGTGCAGGGCCCCCACATAGGAGAAGAGAACTTAAGGGTATACTGGACTGGCTTTTAACATTTTCTCAAAAGGCATATTCACTTTGAGGGTAGAAATTTACATTCTAGAGAAGGCACTGTGCTTTATGAAGCCAAATTAAGGAAAACAACAAGGGGAATCTTAAGCTTACAGCAGCTTGGAAAGTCCCAAATGCCAGAATTCCATCCTCAGGCCACTCACTGAATTCATGTGGTCTGGTTTCCACTCTAGTGAGGCAACCAAATCCCTTTTGCTTTAATTCCTTGTGACCCCTGGGCACCACAAATGTTAGAGCAGTGCTTCTCAAATGCTAATGTGCCTAGGAATCAGCTGCGATCCTGCTAAAAGGCAGAATCTAATTCAGTTCTGGGGTGCGGCTGGAGGCTGCCTTTCTAGCTTTACTTCTATGTGATGCTGACGCTGTGGGTCCTTGGACGGCACTCTAAGTAGCAAGGCTGAAGAGAGTGCCTACTGGCCCCTGTTGGCACACAAGGAAATGCAGGGCTTGGTGGCCTCTGTGATGCCTACACAGCCTAAACTCTAAGGTAGGCTTTCGAGAGGGCAGCAAAGGTTGGCTCTGGGCTCCCAACTTCAAGTCCTGGCTCACTGTATGTCATTATTTCCAGTATGCAATGACTTTGCCTACAAGAGGCTAGCTTACTCTGGGGTAGGTCTGCAGCACATTTCTGTGACAACCTGAACTCCACAGAATAAGACATGTTCTGGGAAGTGGGGAGATGATGTCAGGTGCTCCAGTTCCAATCTTGAGCTTGTAGCTAAATAGGAGATTCCATCTGCCTTCTAGCGCCTTCTTAAAGAAAGATTTCTAGGTCTGAAGATAACATCCGTTTAATTTCAGGACTAACCTGGGTTTAGGGTGCCAGAATCTCTTCAAGTGCTTTCTGCTGGCCAAAAACATGTAGAGGTTTGAGCTGTTTAAGCTTAAGTTATCCTGCCCGCTACTCAACTGGAGATGTAGCCAACAGAATGGGAGTGGGATGATAAACAGAAACATGTTAGAAAATGCTCTCTTCAGTCCCATCAATAAATTAAATCCTTCCCTAATTCCACTGTTCGCATTTCCACACACAGTTCTCCAATGCTGTTTCATTAGCCAACATGAAAATCCTTTCAAAACCATTCTCGAAGTATTTTTAATGTAAATAATAAAAAGCTGGTCTCAACCCTGTTCCCTGAGGCACTCCCCAATTAACATCCTTTTAGGTTTTTATTGCTACCCTTTATTTCCTGCCCTTTAGCCAATTTCCAAAGGACTCTGCCAACTTTCCACTTACAACTCGTGTCTTGTACATTAACCTGTAATGCAGGACATTTTGTGAAAACGCTCTCAGAAAAACTGGGCTGCAGCGCAAGACGACCCGCTTCCTGCCCATCCTCCCCGGTGGCAAGGGCTTCAAAGGATTCTGGTGGACTCTGGAGTCCTGGCCTCCTCTCCCTGCAGCTGTTGTTGGCTGTCCTCAGTCAGACCACACTCACCTCTCCACAGTTCCTTCTTCAATTCCGCAAATAGCTTCTTGATGTTCCAGGAAGCCTCACATTAAACTAATGGGCTCTGAGGCTCCCGGACTCAGACGCCAGGAAGAGTATCCCGGGCCCCAAGAGGGGAGAGGGGCACTACGCAGATGCCTCTGCCTGCAGGAGAGCTGGGGAACAGGGTCAGGGCTTTGTGTGGCTCCTTCCCGTGTTCCCAGCTGCCAAGAAAAGGAGACAAAGGCCAGAGGCACCCTTGAGATTCTTGCAGTTTTTGAGAGCAATAGAATTTGAGCAGCTGAGAGACGGATGGAGCCTGTGTGGATCCATTTGCCCCTCCTCGAGCTGCCTGTGTGTGCTGACTGAGCACTTACTGTGTGCCAGCTACTTTTCTAGGCACTGCGGATACAGCTGTGAACAGAAGTGACAAAGTCCCTCAGAGCATCTAAACTAGTAGAGAGACAGACCCACAAACCGTGATGTCAGACGCGGGCAGGTGCTCTGAAGAAAGTCGGAGTAAGAGGAGGGACAAGACAGTCCTTGTAGAGAGGACCTAGTTACGGCAGACCTCTCTGGGAAGGTACCGTGTGAACAGAGATCTGAACGAGGGAGGTGATTTCCCACAGGTCCCTTCTTGTGCTCCCCCTTCTTTCCCTGAGGGACCTGCCAGTCCTCTGGGCCCGGGGTTGGATTGGGGGGGTGCAGTGCCACCCACTACTGCCATAGCAATCCTGAGGAAAAGCAACCCACAAACAGCATCTCTTTCTCTTCCCTGGTTGGCACAGTCACAGTCCTCCACGGCCACGAGCACAGCATTTATCGACTTGTACCTACCAGGTCCACGTGTCTGTCTCTTGCACATAACTCACTATCGTGATATTTTAATGTGCTGAAGAATCACTTGAGGTGCTAATGAACAAGTTTAGATTCAAGAGTCCGCTCTTTAAACGTCCTGAGTATGTAGCGGTGCGCCCGGGCGTCAGCTTATTTAGACAAGGACCAGGGCATTCCAACAAAGTGGTGGAGGGTCCTCGCCTTGAAAACGGGGTCACTGGCAATGAACCCCTCAACGGGCAAGGTCTGAGCCATCCCGTTTCCATCCCCAGAGCGCAGAGCTTAGCGTTTGGTGACCACTCAATAAATAACCAAGAGAAGCATTTGCCTCATGGGACATTCATCCTTGTTCTGCTTACAGCGAACACCCCGTCAGTTGGTTATCTTCTCTTCCTTCCCGAGACTCAACTTCTGGAGGCCAGAGATCCTACTCTGCATTCCTTCTGTGGGCCTGGCAGTATTTTTCATAGTAAATAACAAGAGATCTTCAGGCCACACTTGCTGAGACAAAGAATAAATGAGAGGAAGGGAGAAAGAAAAATAATTCAACGTATGAGATCTAGTCTGAGGACGCTCTAATATGGTCACTGGGCAGATTTAGTTTGTCACCTGACACTTACAAGCGGTCACCCAAATGGCAACATGCTGATATTGAACAGCAGTAGCAGATGCTTTCCTTTCCTTCCCCTGCCCTCACTGGAGCTGCTAACAAACAACTCAGTGTAAGGGAGGGGGCAGGAAAGAGTCTGGGGGCACACAAGAGCCTTGGCTAATGTGCCCCTGAATGAGCCAAGCACTGACTGCTCTCTCAGGGCCCTCGGCTTCAGAGCACTTAGAGACATCCTTAATGTCATCTGTGTACACAGGAGCTTGTGACGGGCGGGTCGTTAATCTAGTACTTGTACTCAGGGCTCGGCTGCGGCTTCTGCTTCAGCGTTTATGTAATGTGCGTTCACCTCTTTGCTCTATTACTGATGAGATTTCGATGGCACGTTGAGAAAGCTCACACTAGTGTAAGTTGATGCCAGCTTCCAGAAG